GATGTGGGAGGACTTTAAATATACGTATACATATATATATATATATATCACTATAAATACTTCTGAGTTCTGAACTTTGTACTCTTTATATATGTCTGTGATCATTTATTATATATACCAAATAATTGTACTCTCCATTTCTTTTTTTAAAAATGTGATTTTATATTTTAAATTTATAATTTATTTTTTTTAATATATAATAATTATATTTACTAATATATTTTTTAATAACTTACTAATTATATTTTATTTATATTCTCTGTCTAAGTAAATTAAAAAATATTAATAGAGTGATGAATATATTGATTAAAATATCTTCAAAATTTAGAACGAATAAATTGTACGTTGTTAATTTTAAGTGAAATGTAAAAATATTGCACTGTTGGATATATTGATTGTGAAGAACTCAAAATTGTAAAAGACGTTTGAAATTGATTTGAAATGAAGTATTGATTTGAATTTTTTATTTAAATAATATTTTTGTGTAATATTTTGTGAAATAATAATAATAATATATTTTTATTGTAAATTGTGTCAAATAAATATTATTAATTTGATTTGAAATGATAAAAAAAATGTACATTTTAATTAGAAGTCATGGTAAACAGTTAAATATGCAATTTTAATTATAATCATAGGAATTATTGTGAAAATTTATACAATAAACTTTTTATTTGGTTTTAATTTTGTAAATATTATTTTTGAAATGAAATAATATGGAATGTTATATAATAATAATAATAATAATAATAATTAATTAGTGAACAAATTAAGTGTGATTATTTTAATGCATTTCTTGTCGTGATTGGAACAAATATAATAATAATAATAATAATAATAATCTGAAAATAGGAAGAGAACATATTGATCAGCTTTTTCAGGAGGAGAAAGCAAGGCTAATACACGCACTGCCTCCCGCACCTATACATACACAACATCTGTATCTATATTCATAAATCACTATTCAATATTCATGATGTTTATATATATATATATATATAAATATACAAAATATTAATAATAATTTTTTTCAAAAAAAAAAAATATCACAAGAAATTAACTTATTTTTATCTAAAATACTTATTACATTAAAAATATTTTTTCTTTACAAAATATCACGTATGAATGACCAGCATATATTGTGTTGTAAAATAACATATGTTGAATTATAATATAATATATATATTATTATAAATATGCTAAAATATGTATAAATATATATTGATCATCCTTATAAATATATTGATCCCTGTCCATTTATATTATTTTCAAATTTCTTTTTTTTTTTTCTTTTTTTTTTTTTTAATTTTCAAAACTCGTGTATAAACAAAGAGGCGTGTAATTAAACGTAGCCAAAATAAATAGAATTGTATATATGGAAGATTCGAATGAAATTAAATAAAATAAATAAATTATATTTTATCCGTTCCAAAACTATAGTCTGGATTGTGTTTGGCACGATATTGGTAGTGGGTGAAAAATACGGGTAAAAGATTTTTTTGCCATTGCGAGTGTATTAGTGTAAAAAGCAGTGGCAATTGTGTAATAATAATAAAAATGTAAGAATAATTTTATAATAATATAATTATTTATGAAAATAATAAATAAGATTATTGTATTGGACCGGAGGAGCAATAATATTACAAGGGGGAAGGATACGAAAGGTGAGTCAAGTGTAGAACGTTGTTGGGGAGCACATGCATGCTGCCCTGTCCTGTAATATAATGGAAAGAATGTCTCTTAATTAAATTATTTATTTTATTATTTAAATATATTTTATTTATTTATTTATTTATTTATATATGTAAGAAGACCACGTCGCGTTGTTTCTGTTAACAACAGTTTCTTGGGTTTTGAGGAAAAACACTGCACAGACATGCATGCCAAACCATATCCTCATTAATTAATTAAATAAATAAATTACATAATTAATTATGCACCATTTATATACATACAATTCTTATATATATATATATATATTATTGTATAACGTACACCTAAAATTATATAGGTTTGATCGAGCATGAAAATTAAGAATTAATAAAATTTCAATGTTACAGTAACGTGGATAAAAAAGTAAATTTGAAGTATTATAAAAAAAAATTATTAAAAGATTGATTATAAAAAAAAAGAGACAATAAAAAAATAATAATAAATTAGTTACTATTTGCTAAGGTAAGGATAATAAAAAATTATAAATGGATAAAGTTATACTCCCTCCATCCCATATTTATATATCCATCTGTTTTTCACATGGAGTTTTAGAAATATTAGTATTATATCGGGATAAAGTAGAAATAAATGTAAAAAGACTAAATTAACTCTATTAGTATTGTATGATATAAAGATAATGACATTTGTGTAATATATTATAAATTGCAATGGTATTTGTAATGTTAGGTAGACAGTACAATTACTAAAAAAGAAAATGGATACTTTGTTATGGGACGGACCAAAATGAAAAAATAAATAGATTGTTAAGAGACAACGGGATTATACTATAAGGTGTGTGTGCTTGAAGGATTTTACAAATATTTTACTATTTACTAAAAAAAAATTCTTCTAAAAACGTCAACTCAAACACATATTTTTTTTTATACTATATTAAAAATCAATTTTACATTCAAACATCACATCAGAACATATGTATATAAAATCTTATAACTATTCAAATTCCAAACCTAAAATTCAAACCTCTAAACAAACACACCATAAATGAATCATGTATAAATTTAACAAATTATTAAATAAAAATAATTACACAATTTTGGTAAGAATATTTTATATTTACAAAATTATGAAGTATTGAAAGTGAAATTTCCAAAGATCCTAAAGTAATCCTTTATTTATTATAAGGAGTTTAGGGTTTGTTGTTTTGTGATTTAAAATGAAATTAACACGCACATTTTTTTAATAAAAATATATTATTATTTTTCTTAAAAAAAATATTATATTAAAATATTATTTAAAAAATTCAAATCAAAATATTATTTCAAATCAATTTCAAACTATAACTAAGCAAATCTTTAGTTGTGATGCTTTTTGCATATAAATCTTAATTTGACATAATAATAATATTATATAAATAAATATTTCCTCCGTCTCAATACAATAGTTTTGTTTATCATTTTTTTCCGTCCCAAAAAAATAGTCTTATTTCCATAAATAACCATATCACCGTAAAACTACCCCTACTTTTTCATTTTTATTACACAATTGCCATTACTTTTTACACTAATACAATCACAATGGCAAAAAAGTCTTTTATCTATATTTTTTAGCCACTATCAATATAATATCAATATTCCTTATATCTCGTGTCCAACTCAATTAAAACTATAGTTTTGGGACGGAGAGAGTCTCAATTTGAAGTTATTTAATGTGTAAAATATTGTGGAGTCCATACTTACCAATAGAAAACTAAATAGAAGATCTCAATTAGAAAAATAAATACTTTGTGTAATAACAATCAAAATAATAAAATAATTATATTTCGAGCAATATATGTAGAAATATATATATATATATATGTATGTATGTAATGGTCAGTTTTGAGGAGACCCACCCACCCCGCAATGCGAAACGAGTATGGGCGTGGACATGCGTTGTGCAAATAATGTGTAATTATTTACAACTTATTACTACTAATATACTTCATTCATTTTAAATCTTCTATTATTTTAAAATTTTCTATTTAGGCGTAATTTTTTATATTTCTATATATACTTTATAAATTTATTCTAAATAAAAAAATAAGAATAAATTAAGAAAAAAAAAAAAAAAACCATCAAATTTATACCATCTAAAAATAGTACTAAAAAATATGATGTCATAAAATGTGTACGTATAAACAAGACAAAGTTATTGGTGAATAAATAAATAAAAGGTTTTATCATTTCCATACAAAAGGGGCTGTAAGTAAAAAGAGAAGTTACGAATTGTATAGCAGCATCCGATGAAAAGGACCTTTTTGTGATATCTCAAAAAGACAGCCACCCCTTTTGTAAATTCCTCCTAATTTTCCTAAATTAAACTCAAGTCCCTGTTTATATTCAGCATCAATATATATATATATATTTTTTTTTAGTAATTGTATTTTATTATTAAATAACTTTTGGAATGGAAAGAGGGAGCATTTATTATTAATTTATTAATAGTTTTCTAATAACATTTTTAAAATAATACTCCCTCCGTCCCAAATACTATATTTATGTTGCCGTTTCTATCCGTCCCACATACCATGTCACTTTTCTTTTTTGGAAAATGATTACACACTTTAATCTCATTTTAAATTTCTAATTTTTTTTATTTTAATTAAACTAATTAGTTATCTTAATCTTAATTTATAATTATTTATATTAAAGGATAATTATCTACTAATATAATACTCCCTCCGTCCCACGTACCGTGCTACACCGTAGACACGGTATTTTAGAAGGAGTGTAATTAGAAGATAATTAAGAATGTATTAGTGAAAATAATTATCTTATAATATAAATAATTATAAATTAAGATTAAGATAACTAATTAGTTTAATTAAAATTTAAAAAAAATAAATTAAAAAATTTAAAATGAGATTAAAGTTTGTAATTATTTTCCAAAAAATGAAAGTGACATGGAATGTAGAACGGACAGAAACGGCAACATGGACATGTATGTAGGACGGGGGGAATACTATTTATTTATATCGACAAAATATAGCATCAAATAAACCTTTGTTTTTTTTCAAAATTTTAAAAAATTCTATTTAAGAAATACCTTATATTGAATATGATATTTTTTTAAATAGTAAGAATAAATTTAAAAGAAAGATAAAAAGATTAAATACATAAACTGTAAATTGGGCTTTATATTACTAAACATAGGAGATCAAAAAAATTGGTGACCCTTAGCCAAATTCATCACACAACATAATAATAATAATAATTTATTATTATTATTATATATGTGGCAATATAAAAATAACATATAACTGACTGACCCCCCTCCATCTATCTCCCATCATCCCTGCAACTATTTCATCTCTCTCTCTGTCTCTTTCTCTCTCTAAAAACTCTCTCTCTCTCTCTCTCTCTCTCTCCCACAAGCTTCCAAACAAAGAGAATTAATGGAAAGTGAGATTTGTAAGTTCTTATTCTCTACCTAGCTACAAACCCATTTGTCCACTCCTCAATTTTTCATATTTTTTTCTTTATTTTTACTTACTATACATACACATATACAGATATACATACATATATATATATATTGAGAATCAAATTAGGTTTGTGGTCAATGGGGCGTCGACTATCATCTTGATCATGCCCTCAGATCCAAATCCCCAATTTGATTTTCAAAACCCTAATTTCAATTTCAGAGATAAAAGCTTCCTTTCATGGCTGCTGCCCTCATGATTACATCATTGCTGCACTTCCCGCCATCCGATCTGCTGCCATGACCATGTTTTCCGCGGCGGCGAACCGGCGGCAATTTTTCTATGGCGGCGGCGGAGGCGGCGGCGGTTATGGTGTTTCCGGCAGCGGCGTAGGATCCGATCTGGTTTTAATTGGAGCTCCAATGGCGGAGGAGGAGGATCGTTCTACAACACATAGCTTGAACGAATCGACTTCGAAGAATTGCAATCGCGGCGGCGGCGCCGCCGACGACGACGACGACGCCTGGCTGCAGCTCTCCATCGGCGGCGGCGCCGCCGATCGGAAAAGTGCCAATTTGGTGGAGCTCGAACTTATGCCCACCACCACCACCACCACCACCAGCAACAACAACAACAACAACAACAACGATGATAACGACAGAAACTGTATTAGTCATTCTCCAATCCGGCCGCCGCCTCCGCTACCGGCGGCGATGAATTTCGGCGGCGGGTATGCTCCGACGCCGGCGACGGCGGCATTTTTCTTACAGGGAGGCAGTAGTTCGAATTTCCCTCCAAATCAAGAGATTAATTGGGCATTTAGGCCAGCTATGATCCCACTTAGCATAGCTTCTCCCTCTTCTTTAATGGCGTCGGCGGCGGCGCTACCAGCGCCGCCGTATTTACATTTTCCCCTGGCGGCGCCGCCAGGCGTCGATTTCAGAGTAATCCAACCGCCGAGGAGACCACATTCTGGGATATGGTTTATGCTACAGGCTTCACAAAATCAGTGAGTATAATCATCCCATTGATCATTCTTCAATTTTATTTAATTTTTTTTTAAAAAAATAAAGCTTCAATAATTACAATCATTATCCATATCAATATTCCATCTGTTTCATGGATTAAATAAATTAATTAATTTGGGTTTTTCATTATCATTTTTCTTGCAGAGACAAAGAGCCATTTTTGCCACAAATATCAAAGAGCTACTTAAGAATCAAGTATATATATATATATACACATATAAATCCCTAACCCTAATTTTATCCCCAATTCCATAATCTGCCCAATTTAATTTCACATTTTAGCACTGATTTTAATTAATTTATTATTTATTTATTGATTTAATTAGGGATGGGAAGATGACAATTCGACTGGTTATAAAGTACCTGGTGAACAAACTCAGACTGCAAAATGAATCAGAGGTAAACATTAATTTATTTTTTCTAAATTTTATTTTTTGCATTAGCTTAGTATTCAACATGCAGCATGAAAAATATAAAATAGTTAAAATTAAAAATTTTCTTGTTTAATTATTTGCTAGTTTCTTGAATTAATTCCCACATTAGCCTAAAATAGCAAACACTAATAAACATATATGTGTGCAATAATATACATACATATATATATATATATATATCTTAGAAGAATTAATGTTAGGTAAAAGAAACCATGATTGGAACATCATAACCAGAAGGGATTACAACATACACAGAGATATCTATATCTATATCTATATACATAGATTATGTGTATAGAAATATTTAGCTTCGGAGAAGTTTAGATAACATCATAAGTTGGTACGATGTACATTTCTTGGTAGCCATAATATATATATATACATATATATATTGTAAGAGTGATAATTGGAGTTCTTGGTAAAAAAAAATTGAGGGTTTTGGTCAATTTCTAATAATCTTGTTTCAAGATGGATTTTGTATATATATATATATATATATATTGTAAGAGTGATAATTAGAGTTCTTGGTAAAAAAGATTTAAGGGTTTTGGTCAATTTCTAATAATCTTGTTTCAAGATGGATTTTGTGTGTATATATATATAATTATTTATTTATTTTATGGTTAGTTAATGATCAAAGGAAGGAAAGTATTTAAGGTTTAGGGTTGAAGTGACGAAACGTAGAAGAAAACTATATGTCTAACTTAATTAAATTTCAGATTCCCAAACCAAACACAGGAAAATCATTTATATTATTATTTATTTATTTTAGTATAAGCATATTTATTTAATTTATTGACTCAAAATATGCATTTATAATTAGGGTTAATTAGGGTATTAGTGGAAATGTATGTTTAGTATTTACAATTTATACAAAGCTCAAGAAATTCATAAAATCACTTGATATCAAAAAATTTAATCATATATATATTCATAAATATATTGAGGGCATTTAGCAATTATATTTATATATATTATTTTACCTTGTATTTTTTTTAAAAAAATAATAATAAAGTCATATATCGACATAAAAATATCCCTTCTATAATTAATTAAATTGTGTTACCTCTAGCTTAATTATTTTCATCAAGTTTGCAAATTTTTTGATATAGACATATATGTATATATATAATGTTTTATAGAATATTATTGATTGTGTTGTCTAAAATAATTTTTTTCTCTAAAAAAATATCAAAGTATATATTTATTATTATTTAATATATTATATATTATATATAAGTTTTTCATTTTTATTTAAAATGTTATATCAATTGTATATTTCAATTGAATAATTTTTCCCGTTCAAAATATTAAGTATTCCCAAAACACGACCGAAGAAACTCATAATTTTTATTGTTTTTTTATAGTCTCTTTTTTCATATTTTTTTATTATTATTATTTTTTCTCCATCTTAAATTTAATTGCATGACAACATTATATATCATAATAGTGATTTAGGACTAAGTTTTCTCTTAATTGTTTAAATCATCCTGTAATAGACATGCCCTCAATCACTAAGTTGAAGTTGAGAAATTAAATATAAATATCATAACATAAAGTATATAATAAGACCTAAAATTAAAATAATTACATATATAAAATTCCAATTTAATTTGTTCCTTAATCCAAACTTCAACTTCTACACAATATTATTCTTAGTTTCAGTTATTTAGGTCAACCCTTTCGATGATTAACATGTGTAAGAATCTGTATGTATATGTAAAGCTTTCTTGATTATTACATACCATAAATAAAATAGATATATAAATATATAAATATATTTATTTTATTTTATTTATTTATTTATTTATACATCACAACACAACCACCAAAATTCTCCTAACAATATTTTAAAATTACAAACACGTAACATTGGATGGTAGCAACCATATCCATTAATTAATTAATTAAATTAAATTAAATTTAACATTGAGGAATAATTAATTTATTCAAATTAAACAAAAATATATTACATTGAACATTCTTCTGTGTTCTTATAATATTAAGGGATTAATAATTTAATTATGTACCTAAGTCAACTTTTGATTGAATTAATTTTAAATATACATTAGCCAATTCATCAAAATTGCTTTTGCTTTAATTTGATAAATATTGAACAATTCAATTCATAATAATTGTCGTTAATTTTTTTTTTTTTATGAAATTAATTGCATGAACGAGAATAATAGTGTCACAAATTTAAATTAGTGGGATTTGAATATTCCATTCAATTTAATGTATATATTATTTAATTTGGTAATTAAATTAAATTAAATAAATAAATTTGCTAGGGTTTTGGAAGGCATGCAAGTTAGTGGCCAATGATTGAGATTATAAGTGGGTAGGGAACATTAAAGAATTACCACAATTTGGAATCTAAAATATGTAATTGATAATCATCAATATTGCCAATACTCTCTCTCCTCTTCTCTCTCACTCTAAAAAAAAAATAGACATAGCCATCATGAAAGATAAGAAATCTTGGGATGATTTGATATGATGAAATCAAGCTACTTTTATATATATATATATATATATATACACTATAACCAAAAATTATTTTTGTAACAAAATTTTTTTTTGTCTTTAAATATATTTTTTTCGTTACTAATGACATTAGAGACGGAATTAATAATGGAATTACGTTAGCTACTTGAACTTTTGGGACGGAATTCTGTCACAAATATATTATTTTTTTGTAGTGATGTATTAAAGGGTTAAATTTTTATTTTTTATTTTTATCAATATTTCTAATTTTTTAAAATTTTGTTGTTAATTATTGAAAAAAAAAATTACTAAAAGCTTTTTTTTTTTATTTTTAAATAATTTTTATTAAGAATGGGAGGTAATATTTTGTAAAAGTGAATAAAGTGTTTGTCTTTTATAGTATTTCGTATTTAAGTAGTAGTAAAATGTAGTAATATTTTACAAATTTATATATATTTAAAAAAAAATTAAATCACATAGAAAAAAATCTAAAAAAGAATTTTATAACATTTTTATGCCGTAATTAACACAATTACTATTACTATAAAATATATATATATATATATATGTGTGTATAGTTAGTGTGAGAAAGGATGAGTGAGAGAGATTGATTGATAGTTACTCAAATAGTACGTGGCAAACATTGATGTTAGTCCCACAACCCAAATTATATATTTTTTTTTTAATTTTTTTTTTATATTGATATCATTAATTATCAATCCCCAAAAAAAGAAATACGAAAAAGATAAGCATTTGATCATTTTTAGTACTTTCATTTGGGCTCCCTTTTGCCTTTCAATTAATATATATATATGATCGATTATTTGTACACTTTGTTTTTTTTTTCATTGACATGATATCCCTTTACATATCATAAATAATATTCAAGATTTATACCATTAATTTAAATATAAAAATATTTTCTACAATTAAAAATCCATTTACATAAAAGATTTTGGAGTTTTGAATGTATATTAGTATTATATATATATATATAATTTATATTTTAGGTTTTCTTACACACGTAGCTATTTAGTTAATGAAATTTAAGTAATTTTAAAAAGTAATTATATATATATATATATATTGCGGATCATGATCCAATCAAATCAGAGTGTAGTGTTGATTTGATCGAATCAATATATCACATAAATATAATCAGTATATCTTATATATTATTACAGCATATTTATAAAACATCATATGTTATATGTTATGTTATAACTTAGCATATAATATTTTATAATACATCATATGTTGTGTTATGTAAAAATATAATTGGATATGCGGACTATATATATATATAATGAGAGAGAGAGAGAGACATTAATGAGGTTATGCATATGGTAGGATTTCGTCATGCTTTCGATGGGTTCAACAAAGACCATTTAAATTTGTAGGGTCCTAATTCTCCTTTTCACTAATTCATATATTTAATATTATATTGTGCTTTAATTAATCAATTTTTTAAAAAATAAAAATAAATAAATTAGTGGCATCATCAATTAATTGTCTTAAGTGATGTGCACTTATCCACGTTAGCTAATTAACTAATTATATACTCTCCTTCCTCCGTCTCATATCTATATATTCATTTGCTTTTTACACGGAGTTTTAGAAATATTAGTATTATATTAGAATAAAATAGAAATATTATTATAATATGATATAAAGGTAATGACATTTGTTTAATATATTATAAATTAGAAGGGTATTTGTAATGTTAGATAGATAGTATGGGACAGACAAAAATGAAAAAAAATGACACCAAACTTTTTTATTTATTTATTTATTTATATTTATATATATATATATATTTATATTTGGATTGGTCTAATAAGACTCTGCATGCTTACCTTGTTTAGTTTGTCTCTTTTTTAATTTCTTTTTTTTTTTTTGTTTGCTTTGATTAACAAAATATTATTTTTGGAATGTTTTTTTTGTCTTTGTATAGCTACTAGATATACATACCTTATATATATATTAAGGGGGAATGTCAATCACAAGAATACAGCTATATATATAATTATTATATATATATAGAGAGAGAGAAAGAGAGAGAGAGAGAGAGAGGAGAGAGAGAGATTGACGTTGGAGGAAAGCAAAGCAATGCATGAAAGATAATGCATAGCTGAATGATTTGTTACGTGTTTTTGACAAGAAACAGACAACAATATCCTTCTCTCTCTCTCTCTCTCTCTCTCTCTCTCTCTCTATATATATATATATATTTATATAACTTTGAAATATTTTTTATTACTAACTACCCCCAACCCTTAGTATATCCCATAGGGTTAATCAAATCAAATAATTTTATTCTATTCTAAAAGTTGATGATATTCGTATTCATGATATAATAATTTTTGAAACATGTATAGGAATTATTACATACATAAATATACATACATATATATATTAAATATTTTATCTGTCATCTAAACTTATTCTCACATTCCTATTTCTCGTTAGTTGTCATCCAAATTTATTTTCGTTTATCTTTTAGCATAAAAAATTATATTTTTACTTACTTTTCTTAGAATTTATACCCAATTAAATAAGCATAAATTTAAATGATGGATGGAATATTATTTACCGAAAAACTAAAAAAAAAAACCCTTAAATTAATTAAATTTAATTAATTCTCACGTAGATTTGTCCAATTTTTATTTGGTGTTTCAGTCTACTATTAAGACAGCTATATATATATATACATACATATATAGAGAGAGAGAGAGTAGAGAGAGAGAGAGAGAGAGAGAGAGAGAGAGAGGTTTCTTAAGGAGATGAAAGAGGTGAAGATGACATGCAATATATTAATTAATTAAATTGCATGACAAACGATACACACATAATTTTATTTATTTATATATATATATATATAATGTAATTACATGTACAAGTTAGGTAACAAAATAAAATAAAAATAATTAAAGTAATAGTATAGTGTATATAGAAAATAAAATAAAATAAAATGATAGGAACTGCCGATTGCTCGCCGTACTTTGCGCGTCCTTCAATTATTTATTTAATTTCTCTATTCTTTTTATTTAAATTTCTCCTTTTAATTATTACACCCCATTTATTCTACATACATTTTGAATATTATAAAACCACCATTTTTTGGATTTTTTTTTAAAAAAAAAGTATAAAATTGAAAATAAATCAATAAAAACATATTATTATTGTTGAAATACCAATAATTGATATAGATATTATTGTATAATAAGAATAATAATGAAAGAAAAATAAGTCTAAAGAATAATGATTTAGGAATTAGGAAGAAAGTCTAAAAGGGTCCCTATCAAAATGATTAAAGTGTAGACACTTTCAATTTATTTAATTTTTTTATTATTATTATTTATATGTATTTATTGGGTAGGGTACCTTTCTTAATTAAATTTAATCCTATGAATTAATTATATTCAATTATCTATTTAAATTAATTTTATATATGAATTGATTTTATCTTAGTTATGGTAATTAAATTCAATAAATAATACGTGCATGCGTCTATGTATATATTATTATTATTATTATTATAATAATAATAATTGTGAGGATATATGTGACAAAGCATGACTTCACCAATTGCGTTTGTGGTAGCTTGAGTGATAAGGCTTTGCTTATTTTGAACTTTATTAAATTTAGTTACTATAAATTATTTACTATTATTTTATTTACAAAATACAAAACATAAATGAAAAGATGAAGTAAACAATTGTTATCTTTATTTATTTTTTTTTTAGTTTTATTTTGATCTTTTTGGTATGTTTATTGTGTGTTTTTGACTTTTTATAATTAATTAATTTATTTATTATGAAATTAAGATGAAATTAGTTTAGTTAGTTTAATTAATGTTCGTTAAAACCACATTACTATAAGTGATAATAAGCATAAATTTTAAAACATTTTTATTTTACTCCACACTTTGATTATTATGATTATGATTATGGTTAAAATAGTAATAACAAAAAAGATTTGGCTAATCTGCATGGGATGATGACGTGGCGAAATGGACGGTTCAGATTGAGATAAGATGCAAAGGGCAAAGACTCCAACCGAGCCTGACGTTGCAGCACGTGCGGGACAACATATGGAGCAGTGCACCGAGGGACAATTTCGTCATTTTACCTCCAAACTCATCCACTGCCCATCATATTATGGTCCTTCACTACTCTAGAACATCATCAACAACGTAACTCTCTCTCTCTCTCTCTCTTAAAAAAAAAAAAAAAAAAAAAAATTAACATCTTTTCTTTTTAATTAATTGTTTTTAATTATGGTGTTTTCTTTTGTATTTTAATTTTATTTTATTTTATTTTTGTTTTGGCATCCAAAATATTTATGTGGATTAGTTTATTCTAATTATGACACTACTGGAATATCATAATCTGGAAGATTGATTAATCCCAGCCCTTGGATGTAAAAAAAGAAGGTATTGGGATCATGACACGATGATACCCCTTTTTTATTTTCATTTCTTAATTGTATCATTTTGCAATTTTCTACTCTATTACACTTTGCATATGTACATTTTAATTTTAATTTATTATATAATTAATTTTATTATTATTAGAATAAATGGGCCTGGATTATTCATCCGGGCTAAATTATTAAAAATCGATTTTCTTTGGCCCAATACAGGCCCATTTATGTCTTAGCACAATAAAGTCACCAAAAACCAGCCCATATATAATTAGATGTATGACCGAACTTATTTGACTCAATCAACATATATTTATAAAAGTATATATATTAATATAATATATAACATATATATATATATATAGTAATATAATTACATGCAACACAATAGCACAATAAGCAAATTAGCCCAACACAATATTATATAATCCACAGAAAATATTAATACAATAATTGTCTGTCTTATTATAAAATGTAAAATGATTCAAATTTGTATATTAATTTGGTCATATGTCGTCTAGTTTGCGATGAAATATTAACTGCTTCATGTTAATGTGCTAATTTAATCAAATCACGCTACTCTAAAGATACAATTATATATGTATTTTTTCTTTTCACAAAACATCATATCTAATCCGATCTTAAAACTTCAAAATACAATCTTTAGAGGCACCAGACTTCGATAAAATTCAGACAATCAATCAACTCGAAAAGAAAAAGAGAAAGGCAATCGATGCATGAACATTCATAAAATGTACTAACCTCGTTATATTCTGTCGCCAGCCGCGCTTCCCATACCTGCAGATTCTCATTTAAGAATAGATACAATGAAGCCAATATGGTTTACAATATAATCCCGAGAACACAAACAATTAAAACATACCGGGAACTTGGATGGTGCCGGGGCATCACACACATAGATCCGTGCATTTTACGAGTCATGTGTGTGATGATTCACCTATTGATGCCACAATTTCGAACCAATGTCTAATGTGGAGGACCATACAGAACCAAGCCATGATCGAATAACATGATAAAATTGAACAAATGGGATATTAATTCACACAGAATTACAGTGTAAGTAAGAGGTTTTAAACAGCAGATTTCCGTCGCCAGCATATGAAATATAAATCAGGCAATTGCACTTATCATCTACTTTTTGCGTGTTGATATTTGAATATTAATTATTATATCAAAACGTAGTACAATTTTAAAAAAAAAATTGCAAAAATACTTTCATTAGTGTCTTATAATACTTCTATACTAATTGAAGGACATTTGGACAAAAAATTATACAAATATAAGGATATTTTTAATGTTAATATAATGACACAAAAGCTAAATGAAACCCTTAGACGAACAGAGAGGACGAACGGAGAGAGTACGTAATTTACACAATCTACGCCAACAATTAAAAAAATAAAAATAAAAAAAGTTAAAGTCTTCGATCGTGTCAAAATTTCCTTAAAAGCATCAGGAGCGCCGAGACAAATAGAGACACATATAGCTCATATAAATCCAATACGAAATCACAATAAAACATTCCCTAATGCTGTAATGCATGAACATAAATTTTATCATCAACTCTATCACATCATACCTTCCATTCCTAACCGGGAAGTATCAGTCAGCTTTAGCAAAATGAACAATAAACATTACCATAATCAATTCATGCTTAGTTTCATAACACTTTTACATGACACATATAACTAAAATTTATTGCCGTGACCAACACATTTTCAGAAAGTAGTAGCATCTAATATAGTCGGCCCTGATCAAAAAATTTACATTAAAACCTAAAGGTTAGTACAATTATCAACAAGAACCTTAACTTTCACATCACAAAATCCACACTATCATTGAAACAATCGATGCGGCAGTGGATGCATTCAAGTTTATGTTTGACAAGAATATACAAAATTCTAATGCAGACACACCAAGAAATAAGAGTACCAATCGAAACTCCTATTCTTAAAGGAAGCGCAACGATTTTTGAAGCAGTAACAACACATCAAGAATTCGAAACCAAATACTCTGGCACCAAAATGGACATGAACATCACAACCAAATTAGACCTAGTCGAAGCACAGTAAAGATATCATCTGAGTTAAACTAGCCAAATACAAACTCAACATATCAACAATATCGAAACTAGAAAACTTATACTCTAACCAAATCTAAATTACCCGATTCCCTAATTGTACATTAACCGATATCGTAGCACATGGAAAACAAGATTAAAGCCCAGATTTCAAAACTAAGTTAACACATTTAGAATTATCATTATAATTATACACTATATATGATTATTGCTAAGGCTGCATCATAGAACAAAATCAATACATCACAGAAAACAGTTCATGGAAAACCTTTCTTTAGCTTGAGAATGGCGGAGTACATTTTCCTTCGAGAACCTACGGCATTGATTCCCATATCCTTGAGATCCTCCAAAGTTAACAATGGCAGGACCTCTTCGTCCACCTCGTGTATCTCAAACACAGGAACGTATCTCCCCAACCCTAATCCAATTAACCATTCCCTAACACCGTAATTCTCTTCAGTATCCTTCTCCGGAGAGTTAATTTCGTTGTGATGCACGCCGTTCCCCCTTCGCTGCTCATCCCAATACTGTAATCCCATGTTCTCTGCGGAATTGATCGGACTCTGCTGGTCTCTCAGCAATGGAGTCTCGGAATCCTCGGCCTCCAATTCGCGGATTTGTTCGGCGTTATTTTCATTTTCCTGTTGCAGGAAATTCGAGCTCTCAATTCCTCCGGCATTCCCGTTGGGGGCGGCGCTGGAATCAAATCGATTCCAATTAGTTCGCGCGCGTTTCGCAGGCCTTCGGATTTTCGACTTGCGGTGGCTCGAATCGGCGTAGTTTTCGGAATCGGGGAAATTGGAATCGGTCGCGCCGTTGACGAGGTTGGTAATTGGACGCGTTTTGGAGGTTTTCGCCGCCTGCGAGGGGTCCTTGTGGAAGCGCCATGTCCGATTGGGGCGCCTCTGTTGAGCATCGTAGGGCGGGTCGCCTCCGATCTCGCCGAGGCGGACGCTGGGGCGGCGCTGCCGTTTCGGGGGGTTAGAGGCGGCCGCGATTGAGGCGGTGGATGCGTGGTCGATTGGAGGCGCTTCTGGAGAGGGGGCGGCGGTCGTGGTGGTGGCGGCGGCGGGCGGAGGTGAGGGAACGGAGATTTGGGGGTCCGGCGGCGGATGCTCGGCGTCCATGTGTGTGTGTGTGAGAGAGAGAGAAAGAGAGAGAGAGTGAAGCACGCGTAGTTCAGTGAGGGCTGGGATAAGGAATACGGAAGAAGGAATCTGCTGTGCGCGGGTGCAGGAATACACCTCTCAATCCGGGCCGGGCCGGGCTTGGCTTCGGCCCAAACTTTTAGGCTTACCTTGTTTAGCCAGCCCAGCCCAGCCCAATTACATCGCTGAGAGAAAAATAATCTCCTAACAAAAAACTTAACTTGAGAGACGACAAAGGCATACAAGGAATGAGGGTTTGTTTCTTTTACGAAATAGTTTACATGGATTTATGTATAAATAATTTGTTAATATAAAAATAATGAATACATGCAATATATTAATTTTTTGAAAAAATATATGTTAAAAAACACTAAATGAACGCAAATTAACAACTTAATATAAAATATTTGTTTTTAATATTATTAATACAATTCCTTATATTTAACTAGAGTTGTCAAAATGAGTTGACGGGACGGATTAGTAATCAATCTATCATAACCCGTAAATAAGCGTTTTATTTGTGGATCAACCCACGGAAAGGCGAATTGATATTTAAGCAGTCTAACCTAATCCACATGCTGGCGGCGAGCCAATCAGGTCAAAGGACTTTTAAAAACTACTCTCTCCCTCCCAAATATCACGTTCACGTTGTTGTTTATATCCGTCCTACGTACTATATCACTTTCCTTTTTTGGAAAATGTCTCATTTTAAATTTTTTAATTTTATTTTTTTTAATTTTAATTAAACTAATTAGTTATCTTAATCTTAATTTATAATTATTTATATTATAGGATAATTATTTTCACTAATACATTCTTAATTATCTACTAATTACACTCCTACTAAAATACCGTGTCTACAGTGTAGCATACACTACACTGTATCTAGGACCGAGGGAGTATTAAAAACAATATTTTGTATATATTTAATATAAAAATAGTTATATCCTATAGTTTAAATAACAAATATTTAACATAAGGGATAGGTTGGTAGTGTAAGGATTGGATTTGTAATCGTGAGGTTATGGATTCAAACCCTGAACGCCTTAGATCATCTGTCACACATGGTTTGTCTTCTGTGTCTTTCTTGTTGGGTCGGGGTTTAGGGTTTAGGTGTTAATAAAACTCATACTAAGGATGTGTTTTGCAGCCCACAGACTTTGTCTTTTCTTTTTAAATAAATTTTTTTATAATACAAATAGATAAAAATTTACAAATATATATATATAGATATAATGTAAATTTATAATCAAATTAATACATATTTATATTATTATATTCATTACTATCAAATCAATACACATTAAAACTCTCCAAATTCAACCTAAAACATAAACACACAAAAAAACGCATAAATTCAAATTCACTTCAAAATTCAAATAAAAATCAAATTTAAACCCAAATTTCTCCAAAACTCCCTATGAAACACAAGTATAAATTGCATAATAAAAAAATAATAAAAAAAAAACCCTTATTTGAATTACCAAACAAATCCACGATATTATACACATACTTGCTCACTTCGCAATACATAAAATGATCATCGCAATCCGATTTATTTCTCACACTCACACAAACAAACATTCGTCGATCAAACTCAATCAAACCAAAAAAGAAAAATCATCAATGGCGACAACGAAGAAGAAGATCAAGGAAGGCTAACTACTTAGGAACAACGTAGGGCATAACACTATACACAGTCTGAACAATAGTGAGCGCGAACAGCAGCGCCGCCGCGATAACCGATAGGATCGCCCACGGGTTCGTAAAATACGTATGCATCAAGTTGGCGCGCCACCGGTTCCACCGTTTCTGGCAGTAGGCGCTCACCTGCTTGTGCACGTCGTCGAGTCTGCTCTCGGGGTCGAGCGTCACGTCCTTCGACAGCGCGTTGAAAAGGTTCGCCACCGCCTTGTCGCTCCCGAGCGCGTTCTGCACGATCCCGCACTCGTGGAGCAGGCTCACATCGCGCGCGTTGTCAATGATGTTGTCCATGAAGAACGCGTACGACGTCACCTCGTTCCCCGCCCCGACGTGGAACCGCTCGAACGCGATCATGTTCAGGTATAGGGACTCGAGTGCGTCGTCGACGACGACGAGGGGGAGTTTTAGGACCCCCTTGTGGAAGGATATGTCCCTGAGGCTTCGGGTCTTGCTCTTCACGATCGTAATTCCGGCCTCGTTTAGCTCCGTCGCCGACCGGATTATCTCGTCGCCGCCGTGGTGGACGTCGCCCGGTTTTGCGCCCTTCGAGTGGGTCCCGCGGGTGCGCGGCTCCTCGAGCAAGAGACTCTTGCGGTATACGTCGAGGATGTGGAGGCACTTCCCGAAGTGTAGGAATTGCTTCGGGGAGATCGGTTGGGAGAGGAATTTTAGGAGGCGTCGAGTAAGTTCGTTGCCTCTCTGTATGCAGGAACGCATGTTAGTACTCACTGGATAAGGGGGTTGAAGGCTTCGTCGAGGTCGAAAAATCAATATTTTTATCGTTTTGAATGAGATTAATGGTAAAATGGTATATTTTGACATATGCTAGGAATATGAAAGTAAAAATTGGTCGAATCTGGCCGGACGGGCGATCTATATAATCAACAATGTAATTGACGTACACATACACAGCAGTAACGAAAGCTTAGGGGGTTTGAGTAGCCCCGAGCCCCCATGTGACTCTGTCACTGTTAGTACTGATATATAATGATCGATACTATTAAAAGCAACAGTAACGACAGCTTGGGGGGCTCGAGTTGCCCCGAGTCCCCATCTGACTCTGCCACTGTTAGTACCGATATATAACGATCGATACGATTAAGAAATGTATATATAACGAAACGAGACGAAGACGTAAGTAAGTAAGTAAGTAACCTTAAGCGATGGATCGTTTTGAATGGAGACGAGTTTCTCGAAAACAAGCATCGGTATTTGGTTCTCGAGCATAAGCATGTCGCGCCGCAAATACGGGACGATGTATAGCTTACCGTGCTTGCTAAAAATGGGGTCGTTGCTTGCGTAATCTTCGCCCCCGGCGGGTTCCTCCGCCGGAGTTCGATCCTGCGGATGCGGTTGATCTGGCGGAGTCGTGGCCCGCAATATCTCCAAGATAAAACACCCGTCGACGATCATCATCTGCAAAAACGCGACGGTATCGTTTTGCCAACGGGCGTCCAATTGGTCGTAGGCGTCCTTGAGGTCTTGCACGACGGGAGTCAAGGCGTCGACGCAACTACCGATCGTTTTTCCGGCCCGTTTGAGGAAATGTAGGAGGGCGCGGCGCTTGTGCTCCTCCATGGGCTTCAAGTAATCGACGCCGTGGTGGTACGGCCCGAACGAGACGATTTGCGGCTTGTAGGCGCGCTTGTTGAGCTCGGTGACGGTGGCGGGGATTCGGTAGATCGATCGGCGGCTCCACCGTGCCGACTCGGCGGATTTGTCGACCAGGGTCTTGAGCTCCTCGTCGATCTTGATCGACCATTCTTGGTTGTTCATAGTCATTGCTTTGCTTTGTAAGAATGTTTCGATGTCCAAATTTTGTGTATATATATATAAGGTAAGAGATGTGTAGAATCGATGCCTTAGACATAAGAAGAAGCAAATAATGGGGTTGGATTTGGTTATTCTTTGGTGTTCATATTGGGTAAAAAAGCTGTAAAGTGTTTGGTTCTTCTTGTTTTTGAGTTTTTCACGTTGCCAATAATTATTTATATATATATATATATATATATATATACTTTCCCGGGTATACAATGACCTCTTTATAGTTAGAAATACAGTTATTTAAATAATGTAAATTGTAAATTAGTAATAATAAATTATAATATTATTTTATTATTTTTTATATGAATAGTAATATTAATATTTTAAATATTTTTAACATTATATTTCAATAAAATATATATAATATAAATCTCATTTTATAAATAATAAAATTTTATATAATTAACTTGAAACTAAATTTATCTATAATTAACTAAAATTAATTTTATAAAAGAACGAGGAGTTTTAAATATAAATAAAAATATTTATTTATTAATAAAAGATAGAAGTAAAGCGATTTGAGTGGTTTTATTGGTAAAATGTTATAAATTTAATTAAATTGATTTATATTTGTTAAATATATTTGAAATGAATAAATTTATTAAAGATATAAAAATGTCAGAAATAAAAAAATAAAAAAAATAAAAAAAAATTAATTAATTTATGGCTAAGTATTAAATTACTATTCTCTTTGTAGGATTGAGTGGGTACGCTTAAAATATTTGTAAGTTTAGTGAGATGTAAGGTGTAGTATTAGTAAATAGAAATAAAAGGGATAAATGGGCTAGAAAAGTAACAAGGCGAATCTTGGCAATCTTAGGATAGGGGAAATAGGTATCTTGATTTTGAGAATGTTGCTTGCTTTCAGACAAGGGTCACGAGGAGCACGTGGACCAGTAATGGATTAGTCTTATAAAAATATATTCATTTCCTCTCGTATTTGTATATATTTTTTTTTTTTTACGAAATTTTAAAAATATTAGTATTATATTAAAATAAAGTAGAAATAAAGATAAAAAGATTAAATTATCCCTATTAGTATTGCATGATATAAAGATAAATGCATTTGTGTAATATATTGTAAATTGGAAAGATATCTGTAACGTTAGGTAGATACTACAAGTACTTAAAAAAAAAAGAAATGGATATTCAAAATTGAAAAATTGATAGATTGTTAAGGAATAGAGGGAGTACTACTTTTGTCCGGCTTCAAGATCTCATTTATTTTTTTGGTGTTAGATATTTAAATATTATTTATTATATAAAAATATAATACTACTTCGGTCCAGCCATGAAGTAAACATATATTTTTGCATCAATTGTATTTAATATTAAAAATATCATTATATTTATATAGTTTATTCCAAAAATTGTATTTGTATTATAAGAGACTATAGATGTATTTTTGTTATTTTTTTTTAATTTGTAAAGATCAACACAAAAAAGTCATTGTATACTTTGTAGTTGGACAAAAGTAGTACAAATTAAGAGAAAATAGCAAAAAGACTTCTATTTGTGTCTTATAATATTATTATAATAACATTTGTGCAAAAAAATATATGAATATAAATATATTTTTAATATTAAATACAATAACGCAAAAGGTAAATGAGACCATTAGAGCAAGACGAATTGAGTATATTTTTGGCGTTTCAAACATTGCGCAATATTTTTAATTTTGATATGAAAATTTATGTAGAAAGTATTAAATAGAATAATTTAAAAACTAAATGATATAATGAGATATAAAAGTGTATTTTATTTTTTTTTATTTGGACGTGATAGAATAAAATATGAGGTAAAGATAAATATATTTAATTATTTTATATTTTAAAAATATTGCAAAGTGTTTTAAACAAACAAAAAGAAAATATTGCGAATATTTAGTCCGAATGAAGTACTATATTAAACTATTTCTATTCTTTCTTTATTACGACTACAGTGTTCGAATATAATTAATAAATAATTAAATATATTTATATTTGTTAAATATATATATAATTTATCAAAAATATAAATATATCAAGTAAAGTGAGACAAACGTATTAATTGATTTGGGATAAATATAGTATATTAATTCTTATTTTTAAAATATAAACTATATCTTTCATATAAAAAAACTAAAAAGAATAATATTATAATCTATAATTATCAATTCACTAAATATAATTATCTTAATATATCATATCACTAACAAAATATATCGATTAAAATGAGACAAAGGAGTATCCAATACTTAATTTATATATGAAATATCACAAGTTTGTTTGATTATAATTTTTTTTTTTTTTTTTACGTGATTCTCGATATATATATTATTTATTTTTTCACAAAAAATAACATTTTATTATAAAATATTATTCTCTTAGATTAAACACTAAACAAACAAATCCCACGTCATTAGTATTTTAACTTTAAATATTTGAAAAACATAAATTTTTCTCTTTTTTTGTTATTTTCTTCATTATTCTTGTTCTCTCTATTCTTTTTTCTCTTTTTTCTTTTTCTTATGCTTATTCATTTTCTATTTTTCTTCACTATTTTCTTCTTTCTTTTATTTTTTTTTAATAATTATGTAAATGATTTAGATATTTATTTGAGCGTGACATTCTAATTTTATGTTTTAGAAAGTAAAAAATAAGTCAACATCGAATAGATTTGAGACTCAAAAGAAAAACACTTTCAGACCCAAAGTTGATCTATATTTGACAAATAACATAACAGTTACTCCATGTAATTTTTCAAAAGATAAAAATAAAAATTATCAATTTTCTTTAAAAAAAAAAACTATATTTTTATTATATGCAAGAATAAAAATATCAAATTATTTTACACATTTTTACTAATCAATATATTAATTTTTTTTTAAAAAAAACAAATGACTCATTTGAAAAAAAAACGAAAAGAGTACTCCCTCCATTCAAGCTAAATTATTCTATTTTGCTTAAGTACAAAATTTTATATATTATATAATTAATAATTAATTAAAAAATATATTAATACAAATAATTATAAATTATAACTAAATAGTTTAATTAAAATAAAAAAATTATAAATTAAATTTTCATAAATATGATTAAAATATATGATTATATTTTTAAAAATTAAAAAATTAAATTAAATGAATCGTATATAAATAAAAAAAATAAACAGGAACTAGTATAATTCAAAATAAATAAATTAAAAATAACAGCAAAAGAAGTGCAAGTCTGTAACAAGATCATACAGATCTCAAAAGTGACGAAAAATTCCAAATCCGCCGACCAACACAACACAAAATATTAAAAAAATAAAAATAAAAATAAATAAAAAACACACCCCCCATCTCCCCTCCGGCGTTCATTAAATATCCCTGTCCCTCCGGCACTCCGGCGGCACCGCCGGATACCTTTTCCGATCAGTACAGTAGTTATAGATCGTATACTTACTCCTCACCCACCGTAGGCGCCGCCACTGCTGGGCGTCCAGGTCCCGGAACTGCCTCTGATCCCACCACCTCTTCCCCTGGGACTCGCAGAACCTCGCCTGTACGGACGCCTCACAGCCGTCCACGTGGAACCCTCTGTAAGAAGCTACGAACGGCGCCTTCGACCAATCAGTCTTCTCCAAACCGCCGCGTGTCGCCCAGTCATCGGCGTTCCATAGGCTAGAGTAGATCTTCATCGGCTGGTCGAACGGGAACTTTACTCCCAGGTCCTTGCTGTTTTTGAATACCCGGATTGGGACCTCGTCGACCAGAAACCTGCTCGCCCAATCAGAAGCCAACACGTGGCGCAAAGACAACCGTCGATTTAAATAGAGAGAACTTAACGGTGTTTTTCAGATAAATTTGATTATCGATTTTCCTATTTTAATTTTTTTTAAATAATATTAAGTTAAAAGTAAATTATTATATTGATGTGATTTTTAAAAAATAATAGTATATTTATTATGGATAGTTAAAAATATTGTAATGATATTTTTATTTATTTATTTTTTTTATAAAAATAACGATGTGATATAAAGTAGGAGCATTTGTAAAAAAAAAATTGAAAAAAATCCCAAAAATGAAACATGCATACTTTGAACATTAAAATTTAATTTTGCATTTAAAATATCACATCAATATATATTTATATCATTTAAAGAAACCATTTTAATTCAAAAATTTAGTATTTAAAACCAAAACGAAAATCAAAATCAAAATCTTACGAGCAAGAGCACTAACTTACACGATCTGGTAGGCGTTCCAGAGAACGGAGTATGTGTGGAAATCCTTAGTCGGATCGAACCAGAGGTAAATTCTCTGTTCCTTGTCGCCCTTACCGCCGGTGTAAACGTTTGTTTGTAGAATGTAAGGCTGTCCGGATCTGTTCCCCAGGAATTCGAAATCGATTTCGTCGTGCTCCGAGTTTTGCGACGAGAGCTGTTTGAAAAATCAACGAATCTGAGAAATTAGGGCAGAAATTAACGTTAAAGGCGGAGGACTTACGTAGAAGGCGGTGACGGTGCCGGCGGAATCTCCGGCGACCATTTTGATGTGCATACTGAAGTGTCCGAAGAGGTAAGATCCTTTCGACTGGAAACCGGTGCCTGAAATTCGAAGCAAAGCCGGTCGGAAATTAGGAATTAGGTTTTCGGAGAAGTTTTTTGATTAGTGAGTAGATTTGTTATTACCGGTGTATTTGTCGAGGACTAATTGGATCTCGGAGCCGCCATTGTTGTACTTGATGTGATCGAACGCCCATGTCGGAACGTAGTTTCGGCCGAATGGGACGTCCACCGGGCGGCGCGGCGGCGCCGCCAGTGCTCCGGGGAGGAGCTGCGCTGTTAAGAGGAGGGCGATGAAGATGTAATGAAGAGACATTTTGATGATAATTGTGAAGAGAGTGTGAGGATTTATATATACATGGAGGGAATCAATGGAGTTTTGTTTTGTTCTGTATGTAAAATATTTTATTCATCCGACATCATTTATCTATATTTTCTATTTTTCTTAGTTATTTTTTTAAAAATATATAATTATATACTTTAATTAAATTTTAAATTCTAAATTTTAAATTTTATAATTTTTTAATTAAATTAAATTATTTAATTAATTTAATTTTAATTTATAATTAATTTTATCAAATAATAATTATTTTTACTAATATATTTTTTAATTATTTATTAATTATATTTTAATTAAATATTTGCAATAATAGCTCAAAATATATAGGACAGATGGAATTATTAATTATTACTCTCTCTGTCATTCAAATCTATATAAGGTTGTTATCCAAATTTATTATCGATTTTTTTAGTAAAAAAATACCACTTTTTTTTTTACAAAAAGAAAATAAAAATTATTTTTACATATTTTTTTTTAAAGTCAAATAAATACACAATTGGTTGACGGATGGAGTAAAATATAATAAATGGAAATGCAAGTAGTGGGCAGAGTTTTAATAATATTAGGGTTATTTACAGGATGCTTCTGATGCTGCCTGCTGGTGGTGGATTATTGTGTATTTAAAATACTGGATATATTAATTTGTTTAAATATAAATATTTATATTCTACCAAATTCTTTTGCCTCTTAAGGGTGTATTTGTTTGGCTGATTTTTTTTATTCAGTAAAAATATTTTTTTTTCAAAATATGAAATCAAATATGTATTTTTTTTTTATATTATATTAAAAATTAATTTAAATTTAAAATATTACATCAATATTTATTTATATTATATCGTACAATTATTTCAATTCAAAATTTTTATTAATTAAATTTCAACTTAAAATTCCAAATTTCTAAATAAACACACATGCGTAGTTCAAATCAAGTTCTAGTTTAGGTGAAATAAGACCGCCTTACCAATGGTTGAAACTCAATTGAAAGATGTTTCGACTTATATTCCTAGCAATATACTTCTTTCGTCCCTCGATAATCTATTCATTTTTTTTATTTTGGTCTGTCTCATAACAAATATCAATTTTTTTTGTAATGTCATTACCTTTATATCATATAATACTAATAATGTTAATTTAGTCTTTTTACTTTTATTTATATTTTATTCTAATATAATACTAATATTTATAAAATACCGTAAAAAACAAATGAATATATAAATATGAGACAGAGAAAATAATTTTCATTACTAATGGATAAATTTTTAGACCTCTTGTTGCTATTAATGTGGATATTTCCGTTTTCAGAATAAGGTATGCAGCTCAAATAAAAGACGTGTTTAGGAAGACCATCTAAAGGGGAGGTATCAAGACATTTTATCATTTTTATTCCTATAAATATAAATTTTGGATGAAAGTGATATTCATGTATAATTTATTTAAAATAAAATATATTTATATTTTCTGCATTTATAGTAAAATTAAAAATAAAAGTGTATTATATATTTTATCAATTTTTTTGAGTTATTTTTTTAGAATTATCATAATCTTTTTTAAAAATATATATTTCTATAAAAACAAAACATAAAAAGATTATTTAAATATAAATATAATCTTTTAATTTAATTTGGGAAATTTTAGTTTGAATTTAGTATTGAAATAATACTCCCTCCGTCAACGGATAAAGTATACATTTATTTTTGGTACGGTGTTTAAGAAATAATAGTATTTTAATTATAGTGGATAGTTAAAAGTAGTGTAATGATATTTCTGCTCTTACTTTTTGGTATAAAAGTAATGATGTGACGTAAAATAAGGGTATTTGTGGAAAAAAATGAGGTATTTAATGAAATGTTTACTTTGTAATTTACGTCTCAAAATAGAAATGTATATACTTTCTAGCTGGACGGAGGGAGTATTTAATATATTTTTTTTGTAAGAGAATGTTTTTTTTAAAAAAATACAAAATCTAAATAAAATATTTTGATAAATTTTCAATTAATAAAAATGACATAATTTCTATGTAAAAATATATATTACCCGATCCACCATATAATTTACTACTCTCTTCGTCATCCAATTGTGTGCTCCTTTGAACTAACAATGAATTTTTTATTTTTTGAGTAAAAAAAGTAGAAAAAATAATATTGTTTACTAAAAAATAATTTTTAATAAATTTGAATGACATTAAAAAAAAAAATAATAATAATAAATTTGAACTAAAGATCAATATAAATTTATAATCGGTCACTCGCTGTTACATGTTCTTTTAATAATTATTTTTAAAATAATACTCAATTATTAAATAATAATAATAATAATAATAGTAATAATAGAATTGGCGGTCCAATAATAGGGCAGCAGGGCGCCATGCTTCACACCTGGACTGTCTGTCGCTACCCTACCCGAATCCAGAAATTCGGGTCGGGCCTGCTGGGATCGAGAGACATTGACTGAAGTCGCAAACCTCAAAAAGATTTGATTGATTGATGGATTGGATGAGTTAGGACCATAGACCACATGACACGTGCCTCCTGTTTCGACCTGCACGTGACCTCCCTTTTCCCGCCTTTCCACCTTTGCCTATATAAACGCGTCAATTTCGGCTCATTCTTCGGAGATCCTGGACTCCCAACACCTGCCGTGGGTGGTTTTGTTTGGGCTCTCAAGTAAAAATTTGAAAAAAAATTGATTTGAATTTAACATTAAATTAATGTTTAATATGATATTTTATGAAAAAAAATAAAAAATTAAAAAATATAGAATTAAAATAATAAAATTTAAAAAATATTACTAAAAAAACATAATATTTTCTAAGAACAAATAATACTCTGATAAAATAATATGCTCGTGGATTAGGGAAAATATTTTAACGTGTATTTAGAATTAAAAAAAGTACACAAATATAATATACTCCATAGTTGTTAATTTTTGTTATTTAGAATTAAAAAAAGTACACAAATATAATATTCTAATAATACAATATTTTAATGATAATTAGTGGAGTATTATTTTATATTAAAAAGACTATTTTACTCTTATAAATTTGTTTGTAATAGTATGGAATTTATATGGATAAATACTCATGTGTTACACTAAAAAATATTTATTTATTTTTAATTAAAAATAATTATACATTAATATCAAAATACATTTAATTTATATAAATTACAAATATATAATTGCTCATGCAATTATTTTATACATTAGATCATATGGTAAAAATGTCGAAACTTTTTACAACTTTTGTTAACTAATAAAATATTATTATTTTTTAATATACTACAAAATTTCAAAATGATTATTTCAAATGAAACGAATGAAATAATATTTTATTAATTAATGAATACGTGTAAAATAATTTTAGCATTTCTCTCATTTAGGTCATCTCCAACCCATCGACTTCATTTATCCACTTTTAATTCTAAATATGCAATTGCCACAATAATTTTACTCTAACCATAACTCTATTTTTCACTATTATTCTTCAAATATTCAATTTTTTTTTATTATTTTATACAACCTTTTATTTTTATGATTTAAAATATTTTTTTTAAAAAAAATTTTAAAAAAAGGAGCAACACCAAAATTGGCGTTGCACTATAGTAAAGCCAAAAAATGGCGCACGATTTGCCAACCAAGCGCTGGGTTAGAGATGACCTTATAACTTATGTATAAATAAATTATATACTCTATCCGTTAACACATAATGTATAAAATTACTTTTGGCGTGGTGTTTAATAAATAATAGTATTTTAATTACAGTGAATAGTTAGAAATAGTGTAATGATATTTTTATCCTTATTTTTTAGTGTAAAAGTAACGATCTGATGTAAAATAAGAATATTTGTGGAAAAAAACAAGGTATTTAATGAAATGTTTACTTTGTAATTGGACGTTTCAAAATAAAAACATATATATTTTCTACTAGACAGAGGGAATATATAATACTCCCCCGTCCACAAACATATGTCCTACTTTCCTATTTGAGACGTCCAACAACTATTGTCCTATTTCCTTTTTTAAACACAAATTTTACGTTTTTACCATTCATTCATTTATTAATTTTAATCTCTACCATACAATTAAGGACAAATTTGTCAATTCATAAAAAAAACAATCATCTAAAAAACCGTGTAAATATACTTTAAAACAATAGAAATTGGACGGAGGAATTAATATATTTATAAAATATGTAAAAAAATATCTTGATTATTTTATAATAAAAAAATAAATATTTTTAAATAAGACTTATAAAAATAATAATAATAAAATAATTGAATGTACGTGGCGTTGGGATCCGGGACCTGCCATAAAAAGCGCGTAATTATTTATGTGGAGGGAGCATTAATGGTAATTGCTTAACAAACTGTTTGTTAGGTACTTTTATTTATTCGCAACATTAAATTTTAGTGCCAATCACTTGCTGCCATGTGAACTTCCATTTTATTATTTATCATATATATTCCACTACTTTATTTATATTTATATATATATATAAATATTTAATTTGAAAAATAAATCAGTATCATATAAATAACAAAGGCTCATGTGCATAGCAATGAATGCATTTAATTAAGGATGGATTAATTAATTTTTAATTAATTAATTAATTAATTAAACAGCGGATCAGAACTCAATTATACAAAAATGAGTTGTCTGTGACACATCATAAATCACAGCTTCCTAATATCAGATCACTTACCTGCAACAATTAATGATATGTTTCCCACGACTCTCCGCTGATTTTATTATTATTTTACTATATTTTTTGTTTTATAATAAAATATCTATTTTTTTATTTTAATATGTTTCATAATAAAATATTTTTTTTTTAATAATTGTACTATCTACCTAACATTATACTTTATCCGTCCACTTACAATGTTTACATATTTCTATTTTGGGACGTCCAATTACAAAATTAACATTTCATTAAATATCCTACTTTTTTCCATAGATACCCTTACTTTACATCACATCATTATTTTTACACAAAAA